TATGTTATGTTTGTATGTTTGTATGTTTGTATGTTTGTATGTTTGTATGTTTGTATGTTTGTATGTTTGTATGTTTGTATGTTTGTATGTATGTATGTATGTATGTATGTATGTATGTATACACATAAAGAACAAACATGAACCTGTAGGAAAGCAACAGAGTCCAAGATACAATTGCAAACTGCCGACGCCTTCGCGAAGACTCATGATGAACACAAGCTTCGGCCTTCAAGCGCCATGTCTGCGAACAGAAACAAAACTGGCCATTTCTTCGAAGATCTGTACGCTCTTGTTGACACGACTGGAATCGCGTGGGCCTCTGCAGCGAGGATGGGCATACGGCCACGGCCATAGAGCTGTTTCCGGATCTCGTCCAATGTTCGGGACCCTTTCTCGAAGATCGAGGGATCTTCCAGAAACTGCTGCAGCCTCTCCAGAGGTAGATCCTCCATCAGGATACCATGGGCGGCCAGCAGGTGCTCATCAAGTTCTTCTATGACCTGCACATGTAATTCTGAAGGAAGCCTGAAAGCACTCGTCGACACGTCCCTACCTGGATGTCAGTGCCGTCCAGGTATTCGCCAATCTTTTCTTGCAGCCGTTCCGCCTCGCAGGCATCATCACCGTATACTGCGGTATATGAAAAGGTCAAAGTACAAAGTTGTACAAAGCCCTCCCTACACTTATGGGGGCAAGGACATCCTCAACTTGGCCTGCAGAACGCCGACTCTTGCAAGCTGTTGATGAACATCTTCCAAAGCATGACGCGCTCCTTCCTCCCGCTGTCTCTCTCGAAGCGCGGCCTCCGGATGCAGACTGAACGGTCTTGACACGGCCCTTGCTGATTCTGAGAAGGCCTGAAGCTTGACAAACTGAAACGCGGGCCCTTCCAAGGTGTGAAGCCGCATCGGCAACCTGAACAGAGCCCAAAGGCACTCAGCAGTGCAACTAGATACACATGGCATTGTATGACATGGGATGCCCAACATACACACACACACACACACGTGCACTCGAAGGGCTCAACAATGAATTCAGACAAGCTGGCCCGTACGGAAATGAGATCTCCACGAAAGCACGTGCTTCATGCTGAAACCACCACGGCGTTTCATGGGATGTGACAAAACACTGCGCAAAGAAATCGTGCGGTTTTCAATTTGTTAGAGCCCACTCTGAAAGCATCTCATGTTTTCGATTCACACAAGGCGTAATCGTTTGAGAGTAGCGGGTCGCCTGCAAGGGCAGGCCAGAAAAAACAAGATGTTATTTCGCTGCAAGCATAAGCATCAGGTAGGACTCGCTTTTTCGGCTTGTTCAGAATCCACCGTGCCGATATACCTGCCTGACCAGCCCCCAACACACACAGACATTGTCCTCGGCCATTGAAAATCAAACTCCGAGCCGACAAAGCCAACAAGCGGACGGCCAATCACGCAATGAGGAATCGGACCCTAGCAGGGGGACGGACAACCAACGATGGAATCTGCCAGCCTACCGCACACTTCGTGCGCATAAATCTAGTTGAGTCCCAGCTTCTTCCGTGCATACCAATATCAATATCAGTTTCACATAAACTTTGAATCCCGACTGGTCACCCGTGAAGGCTGTATTTTCGAGCCACGCCGAGAGACGATTTGGTTGTGGGCTGTTAAGATCTGACTTAGGGGGGTCGATCAAGATTCAACTGTGAGTCCGGGTCCCGAAGCTCATGTCCCGGAAACAAGCAAAACACCTGAAAACATTGCCTTAAATTCAATTTCCATCTGTACGAAGTACCACAACGTCACTAGTCGGCTTCGAACTTTCTACACCAAATCAGGTTTGCGAGGCCATGTCGCGGCTGGCGATTGTTGGCCGCATCTAGCCAGCAAACATCCACCTTTGTCACAGAAACTGGCTGGCACTATGACGCATGTGTTCTTGGATCGCTGTGCTTCCGGCTTGATTGCTGATGCATCTTCTGCATGTCAAAGTTGACAAAGGCTCGCACCGCCGTGCCAACACCTGCTGCATGACTCAAACTGTAATGCCACGTAATCGTTGACACGTAAGCGACGATCGAGAACATGCTTGGAAAGCAGTCAAAGTCAGCAGTCGCTGTCCTGGCGTCTTCCAACAGCTCGCTGCCATCGTGAGAAAACGCGCATGTGTTAAGCTCGCATGCGATAAACCCTGTTGCTAAACTGAGTGCGTCGAATTCACAACAGTGATGTCAGTTTAAATATCTATGTAGCTGACATAGAGGTCTGACAACACAACACCATCCCTTACATTCAAAAGAGCACATGTTTTTGGATTGCGAAGAAGCCCATTAAACTATGACAACCACTACTTTTGAACCCCACAGAGAGAGAACACGCTACATGGAGATGCTCGAATGCTTTCAACCACCTGTTTCCCAGCTCACAATCTTGTCGGCTCGACTTTGGTGGAACTTGCTGAAACCTTAAACCTAGACTACCAAGATCACATGCTGAAACGGCATTGTGTCAAAGCAAAATAAGGTGGACTTGCTGATGATCGCATTCATTAATTAGAATTCGCACAGCTAAAACTCTTGCGTGGACCACAGAAAACAAACAAGCTTAAAATTGCAATGTCATCAAACCAAAACGCAAAACTCTGAATGTCCAAGCAAGAGGCAAAAGTTGCAGCAAAACCCAAAACAAATCTTTCGACGCTGTTCGGCTACGAGACAATGTTCCTTGCACTAGACAAGAACACTGATTCAAACACATGCGTAGGAACAGATCTTGCAAGATGCCAACTTCTTTCGCGACCGAGTCTTGCCAGTGCTTCTTATCCTCACAAAATTGAACTACTTGTAGCACTCCGGAAGCTCTTCGTGCATTTTTGTGCCGTCCACCGTTGTTGTTTTTTTTGGAGTGCTGCTTTCCACTGAACCCGTTGGCAAGCATCCGCGTCCGGCTGCCGTGAAATTTCAACTGCTTCACTCTCGAAAACTGTGGAGATGCAATCCAATCCACAACGGATTGCTGAAAAAGAGAAGCACATGTAGAATTTCGCGCACGTGCACTGCTGGCTTTCGGAGAGCTCTTGGCTGCTTCGCAAATCTGGTTTACCGGACTGGCAGTGCGACTCAAAGTGAGAGTCGTTTCTTAACGCATGAGGCTCAGGTTACAACATCTGGGTTCGTGTGCTTAGCCACCCTTTTCATTTCTGTTGTGATTTGTTGGATCGGACACGGCAAGTGGTTTGAAGCCAAGCAGGCTGTAATTCCAATTCCATCAACACTTTGGGGACTCCCTCAAAGCAACAAGATGGTTCGCAGTGCGATTTTTCGAAAGTGGCACGCACACTCTTGTTCCCAGGCTGAGCGGAACCGAACGTGACGATTGAGGATTGGATGGTCGGACAGGAGAGGTGTGGTAAGGAATGTCTGAAAGACATTCAAACCTTTGCACCGAAGTCAGACAGCCATGTTCGGGCGGACTAGTCCGTTACCCTAAGGTTAGGGAGTGCTCGGTCGGAAAACACTCGCACACGCGCTTCTCTTTTTTCTCAGCGGTTGCGTAAAGTCCGGAGGTCCGGTGAAACCCTGTCCGGACG